CACACACACACAAACACACACACAAACACACACACAAACACACACACAAACACACACACAAACACATACACACAAACACACAAACACACACACACAAACACACACACAAACACACACACAAAAACACACACACAAACACACACACAAACACACACACAAACACACGCACACAAACACACACACACAAGTACGCATACACACAAACACACGCAAACACACACGCAGAAATCTGGGACACCCGTGACAATATGCGTTTTGTGCTGTATAACAGCAGTACAAAACGCATAAAAAAATTAGATGGCGACTTCCATCTTTCTGAAAATTCGGCAGATACTTCCACTTCGACGACCCTCTTCCCAAAAAGAGATGCATCTACTTACAAAAGTGGTGAAAAGAATGATAAACATCTCGCATTTTTTCCTGAATGAATGAAGAACACAAGGATGCGAAGTTACGAACGTCAGCAGAGTGATCATCAAGTGAGGTGCTTTCGGCCAAAACGACTATGAAAAAGAGATAAAATACATGAAGCAGTACTGCCCGCATAGGCTCTCATAGCCTTTGGAATGACGCCGATGAGGAAGCAGATGGTGGAGACAGAAATCAGTGCAAATTTCGGAAATGTGCCTACAAAGACAAGATGAAAACTCTGCAGGTTGCATTAGCCGCGAGGCGAAGCGCTGTGAACAACAGTTGATCAAAATATCAATGTGGTCATACCTGACTGCTTTCTCTTAGGTCATATCTGCAATAATTGGCAAAGTGCTCACAGTTGTTCCATAAGATATTGTAATTGGAACTTCCGAGCTGCAACAAAAATAGTTACGTTTTCAGGAAACAACAATTTTACGCTTCCAGCAAACGCAACGTTTCTTTGACCCCTTGTAGTTGGTGTTGTTAGTAACAAAAACCTGCGTGCCTCTGCGCTCAAAGCTAGGCGCTCATGAAAAATAAATTCCTACTATATAAATTCCTACTACGTCTCCTTGCTTCGGCAAAAAGCCGCTAATGCGTAACGCATACAGAGAGCCAACAGATGAAATGAAAAACACCAAACAAACGGCGGAAGGAATGCAATACATCTAACACCCTCCTCCAAATGAGGCAGAAAAGAAAAATGAACGCTAACGAGCAGCAGGATGACCTCAGATGGTACGGCAATCAAGAGTAGGTTGCCGAGAGCGTTTATAGCACATCACCTCATTGTTATAAAACGAAAATTAATGAAGAAAACAGAGAAAATTTAAGTGTTTAGAACAAATGATTAATAATGTTACCATAAGCAAAGCTCGATTCACCACAATAGCTGGCGGAAACGGCCGCCTTTCTCTGTCGAGAGAATTGTTTATCCTGCAACTGTCACCCTGTGCAACAATCGAAAGCTCGTCACAACGAACCTAAAACGCATCCAGAAGTTTACCTTGTAATCGAAATCCCACAAACTGAAAAACATTTTCCGCCATGAA